CCTCTTAGGTGTTTGGATCTCCCCTGAGTCAATACATTGCTTGATTCATTGCAGTGTGCTTGAGACGCTTGATATCACCACCCACAAACTTCGCATTCCAGATCCAATCGCACTACCCACGGTGCGAAGGCTTTTGATTAGGGGGGAACCACAAGATTTGGGGATATTTTTCTCCTCTCTCCCAGTGTTGGAGCATCTCTCGATCATGAACGGCCGATATCTCGTCTCATGGAATGAGTCGCTTGACTCGCCATATTTACAGAAGGCATTGAACGCCATGAGCAATGCTGGGAGTGCGTCAATCTTATTGCATCCACTTCCAAACCTTCCCAGTCTTCTTTCGCTCACGATGGACTCGAGCACTAGCGATGAGACGCTAGAAGTCTTACACTCCAGTTCAATAGTGAAGCGCATTCACCTACACGGGACTGCTAACCTTTCACCCATTCTCCGCTTTATTGCTTTCAATGAATGCAAAGAGAAGGATCAAGATGGAGATGATCTTATGACGCCAGAGACATCTCACTTCCGCGACCTTGATCTCCTACGACTGTGGGCAGCAGATGAGGATCCACTTTCCCAAGGCACGCCTTCCGAGTACTTGGCCCAAAATGAGGATGTCCCTGGAGTCGTTCGCTTGCTTGCTCACCTGCTGAAGACGCGGCCTGCACTGCACGTAGAAATTGGTTTCGCGAACCAGCGTTGGCCCATGGGAAGTTTCCGTGAGCTTGAGACTCAATATGGTGATCGCATCAATATACGATACAAATCGAGCGAAGAGCGCGATTGGTACGAGATCACTCGGCTTGGATACATCCCGCTTCCCGAAACCTTCAAAGGCTAATTTTGCTGTTTGTGAGTGCCTCTTTCGCCAGAGAGTATCATCCCTCCTGACCAAATGCTCTAGCATGTGCCCCAACGATGTCGTTCAGACTGAAGAGGTTTGTGTCTGGAGGGGAAACAAATACATACCGTCAACATCCCACCCATCCTTGCAGGACTTCAATCCCAATGGTGTTGCCCCAATCATAGTGCTGAAGTTGGTTAGTTACATTCAGATGAGGGTTGGCAGTATAGCTATAATCACTGAGACTCAGATGGTTTTGCTACAGTAGCATAATCATAGTTTCCCCCCATCCTTCACACCCTCCAACACTCACATAGATATCAAGAGACAGAAATTGTACATACTGATGGGAGTGATATGCATTACAGGTGCTTTCGTTATGCAGATGAGGTTGCTCGCCAATATTTCTGTCCCATTCCCAATCGCCTTTGAGATGGACG